TCTGGAGTAAGACTTTTATGTAATGATTATATTCATCTGGGTCTTTGAACTAACTGTAAAATCCAAGAAAATGTCAAAAAGAATTGATAGTAGAATCTAGGATACTTGATCACAGCCATCTGCCCTGATCAGTGCACCAAGAGCGACATTATCCTTGAGCTATATTTTCAAAGACAAAAATGGTATATCCTTTTAATGGAAATTAATCCTCCCAAGTGTCATTGTAACACATATGGCATCCATCTATATCAACGCTTATGCCATATGTCTTTGTTCTTTCCTCTCAAGTTTTATCAACTTAACTCAACTGATACATGAAACAAGATTCACAATTGCTCTTAATTTAATCTACTCCAGAGTAACAAAGCATCACAATAAATACTACTACTTAGTTTGATCACATCCATTTAAAGGCAAAGGCAAACTGAGCATGTAGTTCTTGTTTAGCTTTGCTTTCTTACAAGACTTAGGGAGAATGCCATGGTGAATACAGATGCTACATCTAAGTGGAGAAGGAGGAGGAGGAGGTAACACCTTCCTGGGCCAGGACTAGTAGGCCCCATGACATTCCATGCAGGGGTTTAATCTTCACAGCAATGTACAGAAGCAAAGTGGAGAGCCAGTGTGGTATAATGGTCAAGGCATTGGATTAGGAGTGGAGAGACTAAATCTAGTCAGCAGTGGGTGACTTGGGGCTGGTCAGTCTCTCCACCTACCCTATCTTCAAAGGGTGCTGATGGTGATTGTTAAAAAACGGAGAAGTGAGCATATGTATGCTTCCTTGAGCTCCCAAACAAATAAAATCAAATAAATCAAAATGGGTATCCCATATACTGTTTGAAAACGAAGTTCACTGATACCAAATCTGCTGCTATTTCCTTCATCAATTTAGACTTTGAGTTGGGATAAATAGCATGACCTTGTTACTGCTCACTCCTTCCAGTCCTGAATGTTCAGAACTATATTTTTAAAGACTCTGAGAAGATATCTCAGGTTGCTTCCCACTGAAGAGAATGACAAGCTGCTCAGAGGATATTAGGAACAGACTTTTACTGTGGCTCCTATTGCA